AGATCACGTATATAATGATATTTTATGTCTATGTGTTTAGTACGTGAATGTTGCACCGGATTTTTAGAAATGCAGATAGCACTTGTATTATCACAGTATAAGGGAATAGTTCCAGAGGTAATACCAAAATCAGCCAGCTGGCTTTTGAGCCACAGCAATTGAGTACATGTGCTACTGGCAGCAATGTATTCTGCCTCTGCTGTTGAAAGAGCTACTGCTCCCTGCTTCCTACAAGACCAAGAAACTAAAGACATTCCAACAAATTGACAGCTGCCAGAAGTACTTCTTCTGTCAGTTAGACTCCCTGCAAAATCTGAGTCACTGTACCCTATGAGTTCAAACTAATTCTGTTTAGAATACCAGATCCCTAGGTCAGATGTGCCTTTGAGATATCTGAATATTCGTTTCACAGCAGTCATATGACTCTCTTTAGGATTAGATTGGAAGCGAGCACATAGACAGACACTATATTGAATATCAGGCCTACTCGCAGTTAAGTAGAGGAGTGAACCAATCATTCCTCTGTACTTGGATTCATCGACTTTTACCCCAGTCTCATCCCTGTCCAGTTTTACATTAACTGCCATAGGAGTAGGGCTAGTATTAATAGAGTTTAAATCAAACTTATTTAGCATAGATGATATATATTTTGACTGATTTATGAAGGTGCCATTTTCTGTTTGTTTGATTTGAAGACCAAGGAAGAACTGAAGTTCTCCCATCATACTCATTTCAAACACCTTCTTCATGGACTCACAGAAATCTGAACATAATCTACTGGAAGTAGAGCCAAACACTATATCATCTACATAAATTTGAACCAACAGAATGTCTGAAGCCTCATGCTTAATAAACAAGGTTTTATCAACTGAACCTTGCGTGAATCCTTGTTCAAGAAGAAAGGAAGTAAGTCTATCATACCAAGCCAGAGGGGTTTGTTTAAGACCATACAATGCCTTTCTAAGTTTAAAAACATGATTTGGATATCTATAATCAACAAAACCTGGCGGTTGTTCAACATAGACTTCCTCTTGAATAACTCCATTTAAAAACGCGCTCTTAACGTCCATTTGAAAAAGAGGGAATCCCATGGAACAGGCAAAAGCACACAATAGTCTAATTGACTCTAATCTAGCTATAGGAGCGAAGGTTTCATCATAATCAACCCCCTCTTCCTGTAAGTACCCTTGAGCTACAAGTCTGGCCTTGTTTCGGGTAATAAATCCTTCCTCATCAGTTTTGTTTCTGTAGACCCACTTAGTTCCTATTACAGTTTGACTTAGAGGTCTAGGGACCAGATCCCAAACATGCAAGAGCTCAAACTGAGTTAACTCTTCTATCATGGCAAAAATCCATTCTTCATATTCAAGTGCCTCTTTGTAATTTTTTGGTTCGAATTGAGAAACATAAGCGTATTGTCCAGGAACATACTTGCCTCGAGTTCGAAGCCTGTCATTTATATCCCCAATGATCTGATCTGTCGGATGACGTTTTTGGATGTGCATTGGTGCTGACAGAGGTGTGATAACATCATTCTGTGAATTTGAAGTAGACTCAGATTCTGCTCCAGGTTGTTGCAGATTGTTTTCATCAGCCTTTGTAACCTCTTCTGCAGGGGTATCGATCGGATTTCTGATCATTTCCAGCATATCATAGGTGAAGATTTCCTGCTCAATTTCTTGACAAACAGGATTAGAATCATCAAATACAATATGCACTGATTCTTCTACTTTTTTAGTGCAGTTATTGTATATTTTGTAAGCTTGACCCTTAACTGAGTAACCAAGAAAGATTCCTTTGTCAGATTTAGCATCGAATTTTCCTAGCTTATCCTTGGTGTTCAAGATATAGCAAGGACACCCAAACGGATGAAGGTAGGAAAGATTAGGAGTTCTATTCTTAAACAGTTCATACGGAGTTTTATTCAAGCCTTTTCTGATCAGAACACGATTGGTTATATAACAGGCTGTGTTCACAGCTTCTGCCCAAAAAAATTTTGGAAGATTATACTCAAGGAGCATAGTTCTTGCACATTCAATAAGAGTGCGATTTTTCCTCTCGACAACTCCATTTTGTTGTGGAGTGCGAGGAGCGGAAAAAGTATGAGCTATTCCAGAGTTTTGACACAAAACTTCGAATTCATCTGAGATGAATTCTCCGCCATTGTCACTCCTGATAGTCTTGATTTTATCACCAAACAGATTTACAAAGATTCTGAATTTTTCAACAGTTTCATCTTTATGACTCAAAAAATATACCCAAGTATATCGAGAGAAGTCATCAACCAAGACAAAAACATAGTTCTTTCCTCCTAGGCTAGTAACATTACATGGTCCAAATAAATCCATATGGACTAATTCGAACATGTCATGTGATATTATATCTGCCTTAGATTTGAAAGATTTCCTAGTATGCTTTCCAGTCACACAAGTTTCACAAAAGAAGTCAGGTTTTTCTTTTAAAACAGGAATTCCTCTAACCTGACTGGATTTAGACAGACTGACAAGTTTAGATAGGCTTATATGACCCATTTTACGATGCCATAAGAGTTCTTGCTGAAAAGTAGTCATAAAACAGAGTTCATTAAACGCATTTAAGTTACTTAGATCAATGACATACATATTGTTAGCTCTTTTTCCCACAAACAGAACCTTCTTATCTTTGATTCTTTCAACTATGCATCTATCTTCTTTAAACACAACATTGTTTCCATTACTGCAGAGCTGGCTAATGGAAAGAAGATTGTGCTTTAAGCCCTCCACAAGAAGAACATCTTTGAAAGTAGGGAAGGGTTATTCACCTATAGTTCCAGTTCCAATCACCTTACCACATCCATTATCTCCAAACCAGACTTTACCTCCATTTATATAACTTAAAGATGAGAACAGAAGTTTCTTACCAGACATGTGGTGTGAACACCCACTATCCAAATACCACTTGTAGTCGTTTTCATTTTCTTCTGTTCTTTCTGATTCTGCCATATCTTCTTTTGTCATAAAAGCTTCTTCTTCAGAGAGGTTTTCCTCTTGATCAGAGTCGTAATCACTCCATGAAGCCTTCATAGCCCTCTCCTTGGCTTTCAGAGTCAGAGGGCAGTGTGCCCTGATGTGCCCCACCTTTCCACATTTGTAGCAGGCTTGAGGTTCTCTTTCTGATTGACCTGTTTCAACTTTTCTGGTCTGCTGGGGTAGCAGCCTAGCTTGAGAAAAACTTTTAGTTCTATCAAACATATTATTCCTAGAATCATCCTGTCGATTTTTCTGCTCATTCTTATACTTTAGCATTCTATGAAAACGTTTACTGACTAGAGCAAATTCCCTATCAAAATCAGTTTCTGCATCACTATCTTGCTCATAATCACTGGTTTTAGACTTAAATGCCAAATTCTTATTCCTTTTCTCATCATCTTGACTGACTTGTTTCAAAACATGCTCATGGCTTAACAATGATCCTATCAACTCATTTATAGGCAAGGTAATGATGTTTTTTGCTTCTTCAATGGCAGTGCGCTTAGGCAGCCATTCTTTAGGTAATGATCGAAGAATTTTTCTGTTAAGATCCTTGGTTTGAAACGATTTACCTAAGCCCTTTAGTTTGTTTATGAGCACAGTAAACCTGGAGTACATCTCATGTATGCTTTCATTTTTCATCATACTAAAAATTTCATATTCATGAACTAGCAAATCGATGCGAGATTCTCTGATATTCGACGTACCTTCGTAGGTGCTTTCTAATGCTGACCAGATCTCTTTTGCGGTTTCACAGTTTTCTACCTGATCTGCTTCGTCTGGGTTCATCGCCGACTGAAGAACATGCATGGCTCGTTGGTTTAGCTGCGCGCTTTTCTTCTGCGCTGCTGTCCATAGATGCTTTCTTCGACGATCATTTCCACCGGTCCATTTTGAACAATGAGCCAGAGCTCCTCATCGATGCCCCACATGAATTGTTTCATCCTCTTTTTCCACGCGGTATAGTTTGAACCGGTGAATATTGGAGGATGATTCAGAGCAGCCTGGCCGAATGAACTCGATGCCATTATGGATCTTTAACCTTGGCAGTATTGAGCTTCTTCAAGGACCGAGCTCTGATACCAATTGTAATCAGGGTTGAGATCGATTTCTGGGAATTTAGGGTTCAAAGAACGTTCCCAATTTCAGAGACAAATCGAGAATGTAATGTCGCACAAGGGTTTCGATTTGCCTGGTCTGAATCGACACAGCTCAGTGGGCTGTCACGATTAATGGGCCCAACAACTTTATTAAACTAAAACAGAAACGGATTGACAACTTAAAAACAGAGTGTGGGCTTTAAGCCCATTCGGTGTTCTGTCGAGCAAGAGTCTCCAGAACTCTGCTGCTTATCAACAAGGAAGGAAGAAACAGAGTCTTCAAAACAGAGTAATGAAATTGCAGAAGGTAAAGTGCAGAAAACTAATGGCAACCAAACATTTTTAACGTGGTTCGCCCAAGTGCAATGGTTTACTTCCACGTCCCAGAATATGGTCTGGGAGACCTTTTATTGACGATTTATTCAAGAACTTAAACACACAAAGCAAGAACAAAAGATAAGCAGAAACAAGTGAGAAGAGTAATCCAGATCAAACCCCGATCTGATTCAGCCTTGACGAAAGTTGAACCTGTTCCTCAACCTTTCGTCAATTCCCTTTTGTTAACCCAGAGCTATGCCCTTTACCACAATAGCTTCCACAAAAGTGATCTTCAAGCAGTGAGGCTCGGCAATATATAGTTGAAGGCTCCTAGCCGTTGCACTCAAATAAGGAAATCTTGCTTGACAGGATTTTCTTTCCTTTTGAGGCTGCTGTGATTGTGCAACGGTAATCTTTGACTTGCTTGAATCACAATTCAACACTGACCTGGCTCGAGGAACACCTCAACCAAACATTCAAAGACGACAAGACGGGTATAAATCAAATAATGGTCCTTTACACTACTTTTCTGTATAATAACTAACTTGGGGGTTTCACCATTTCCTTTATGGTTAATTTGACACTTACAGCTCGCCGCGATCATGTGAAGTCATCGCTGTTCGTATTCACTAGTGGATCGCGGAACGATTACACGACCATACGAGGCAACTTCAGCTCTCCACCACTCGAGAAAATGAAGGCAATCATTCCTGATGTCGTTGCAGCCGTCAAGGACTACTTGAAGGTGAAACTAATTACAACAACCTGAAAAACCAAACCCAATATTACTATGAATATATATATAGGGACCTCCTACAATAACTTGAGTAAAATTTCAAGTTAGGTAACTTATATAGATCTAAACCGTTAAAATCGACCCAACTTATTTTAAATAATTGATTAAAAAATAAAAATATAAAATATAAAAAAATTAATGACAACAGGATGTTGCCGCTAACCACCAACGTCACTTACCTTTCTTAACTTTTTTCTTTCCTTTTTTGCATTTAATTATTTTTTCGTTTTTAATTCTTATTGAATTAGAAGCATTACGTAAGGCTTCCGTAATAACTTAGCACTTTACGTAACATGAGATTAATACTCATTACGTAAAAGAATCTTTCATTACGTAAGGCTTTCGTAATGACCTTTTACAACTGTTACGTAAAATACAAATCCATTACGTAAAGGTAAGCTGGAGTACGGTAGGGGCAGAGGGAATTTCCGGTGGAGCGGTGAAATGCGTAGAGATCGGAAAGAACACCAACGGCGAAAGCACTCTGCTGGGCCGACACTGACACTGAGAGACGAAAGCTAGGGGAGCGAATGGGATTAGATACCCCAGTAGTCCTAGCCGTAAACGATGGATACTGGGCGCTGTGCGTATCGACCCGTGCAGTGCTGTAGCTAACGCGTTAAGTATCCCGCCTGGGGAGTACGTTCGCAAGAATGAAACTCAAAGGAATTGACGGGGGCCCGCACAAGCGGTGGAGCATGTGGTTTAATTCGATGCAAAGCGAAGAACCTTACCAGGGCTTGACATGCCGCGAATCCTCTTGAAAGAGAGGGGTGCCTTCGGGAACGCGGACACAGGTGGTGCATGGCTGTCGTCAGCTCGTGCCGTAAGGTGTTGGGTTACGAAACGATAGTTATTTCTTACGTAACAGTGAAATTGGAAGCATTACGTAAACCTTCCGTAATGACTTAGCTCTTTACATAACACGACGTTAATACACATTACGTAAAGAGACCTTCTATTACGTAAGGCTTCCGTAATGACATTTTCCAACTGCTAAGTAAAATACACATTCATTACGTAAAGGTTACGAAACGATAGTTATTTCTTACGTAACAGTTAAATCGGAAGCGTTACGTAAGGCTTCCGTAATGACTGAGCACTTTACGTAACGTGAGGTTAATACTTATTACGTAAAAAGACCTTCCATTACGTAAAGGTTACGGAACAAGAGTTATTTCTTACGTAACAGTTAAATCAGTAGTGTTACGTAAGGCTTCCGTAATGACTTCGCATTTTACGTAATGTGAGGTTAATGCTCATTACGTAAGGCTTCCGTAATGGATCTTTTACAACTGTTACGTAAGATTACCGTATGTTACGTAAGCATTACGTAATGCCAATGGCTATTGTATTTTACGTAATGCGACCTGTGAAACCTGCTATAACAGGTAAAAAAATTCAAGTTACCTTACTTAAAATTACCGTAGGAAATCCCATATATATATTATCTAGTAAACCCTTGGTTTCGGGTATATTTGTTGAATTTGCAGAAGCTCATAATCAAATACGGAGCCAGCAAGATAGTAGTGACAGGTTTGAACAAAGCTGGGTGCACCCTGGATGTGGGACTCTTCCACGACTATAAGCCCCACTGCAATACCTCCACCAATGCTGTTATCGCTCTTCACAATCGATTCCTGAAGCAAGAGCTCGCAGAGCTGAGAAAGGAGTTACCCGACGTACTCCTAGTCTACGGGGACATGTGGGGTCCGACAGGATGGCTTCTCCACCATTACAGAACACTAGGTATACAAACCATACAATGAGAAAGAAAAGAAAACAGAGGAAAGTCAGGGGAGAAGTAAAAAAACAGAGAGGAAAAAACAGAGCATGGTATGTAAATAAGACGACGACGCATCATAATGTTTTGTCTGGCTGTGTGGACGCAGGGTTCAAGCAACCGAGTGACAGATTCTGTTGTGGGAATGGCTCAAAGGCATGTGGCTCCGCTGGTTTACCGTACTGTCAGAACGCGCAGGAGTATATGTTTTGGGACGACCGTCATTTGACTGACCATTCGTATCGGATGATCGCCGATCCCACGGTTGGCTGCGGACCTAGGATGCGATAATTGTCATCATCGTGCACACAAGGAAGACTATAAGTCAACAGCGGCTGCACTAAAATCGGGAGAAATGCTGCTGTTTGGAATATTGTTCAGCTCGTTCGTCCTTTATGTTATTATAAAGTGAACTTCAATTATCTCTCGGCTGTCGCTAGTTAAGCTTAGCTAACTTGCTAAGTCATGTATGCTCTCTTGAACCAATCGGCATGGTCTGTATATGGCCTCAAAACTCGAAAGACGCTTTGTAATTGTAATGAATGTTTATGTGTGGATTAGTAATTACTTAGTATCTTATATTAATATATATATATATATATATAAATATATATATATACGCACAACTATATTGTCCCACTATGAAGCTCATCACCGAACTAACTGTTGGGGGTGGACGAATGAGGGAAATTTTTCAAACTATTGCCAAAAACAATTTCAATAATAACCCTCATTTTGGAAAAATTTCAAAAACACCAACATTTCTCATAAACCGCTACCCCATCCCGCGGTTAAAAAGAAAACCACCACCCCACACCTTGGTTTTTGTAAGTTCCGATAAACCCTACGGGGTAGCAGCGGTTAAGGTGAAAACCGCTTGCCACAGCAGTTTTAACAAAAAATAAAATCTCGATCAAATCCAAACCTAGGCTGAAACTTCAAACAAACGTAACTTTGCACTCGGGTATCCGATCGTAGCGATTTTTTTATTCCGCATAACTTTTTAAAATTTTGCAAGCCGCAAACTAGCCCCTGAACCTATCTTCTCTATTTTTTGTATAAAAAATTACAATCCCCTATTTTTTCTCGTCCCTCTTCCGCTATTTAAAAAACATGACCGCCAACTACCAGAGAACACGGCCATCGCATCTCTAGAATTTGATACCTCATCTCCGGTATGTGTGACAGAGAGCCACAAGAAGGAAAGCAAAGAGTAAATAGGAGTAGTGGCTAGAGATGTCTAAAGTGAAGTAAACTCATTAATTATGGATAGGGTATGGATGAAGTATATATGAGTATGAGATTTTTTAGATGGTTTCGGATACGGTATGAATATTTTTTTTATATTCTAAATGAGTATGGGTTGGATATGGATACCCATTTATAGAAAGCCCAAACCATATCACTAATTGCTACTGAAAATTTTCTTCTTCGCAGGCTGCACAAAATGGGGAGTACATATCACTAACGTCCAACTTGGAAGGAAGATACACAAAGTGATCAGTGTTGACGTATTAGAGTATTTGGGCTGAGCCCAACTCTTGTATTCCTATGTATATACGTATTGTAGGAGTAGTGGACATGGGTAGTTGGTTCTTTCTTTTATTTCTGCGACCCGGTTACGTGTTGTATGGCCGAGTAGGGTTTATGCCCTACTGGATATATACCTCTTGTAAGGTAGCTGCTGAGACTATCGAAAATAGTAATAAGATTGTAGCCGGATAGTGTCATACTCTCTCGTGGACTAGTCCCGAATCTCAAGGATACCACGTATATATCGCGTGTTGTGTACTCTTTCGATCTTCGTTTTGCTCTAAGCTCAATTTGTTAACATGGTATCAGAGCTTTCGTTGGCTAATTCAGATCGTCTCACCATTCGTCTCAACTCCAAGAACTATGCGTATGGGAGTTCAGTTTCGCATCTTTGTTGGAGGTCGTGGCCTTCTCGAAATTCTCGATGGTACGTCCCCGAAGCTTACCGCTCCTGAGGCTACGGAGCAAGATATTGCTCATTGGAATTAGAATAATGCTCGAGTTAAGTCATGGATTCTAGGGTCGGTTGAGTCGACCATTGTGCTCGGGCTTCATCTTCTTCCTGATGCTCACGCCATGTGGTCTCATTTGACGTCTACTTATTCAGCTAACAATGTTGCCCACAAATTCGATATTCAGTTCGAGTTGGCTCGTCTCAAACAAGGTGATCTTGATGTCACCATCTACTTCAACAAGGCGCAGGTGTTGTGGAAGGAGCAGGACCTGCTCACCGCCGCCCTCCGCCCGAAGGAGGCCTCTGCTGAAGTTATGGATGAACGCCACAAGACACGTGTTATGTTGTTCTTGCTGCATCTCCAGCCTGAGTTCGAGGCAGTCCGCTCCACTTTAATTAACTAGGAGGGTCTCACGATGGAAGGGGTGCTGGGGAAGCTTATCCGTGAGGAAACCCGCTTCAAGACTCAATCGCAGTCGTCGATTCGTCCTGGTGAAGGTGAAGCGGTCTTCTCTGCCTTTGGTCCGCCATCGCAACCATCTTACCAAGCATTTGCTGTGGGAAAGCGACAATTCCAGCGTAATATCTCTACTGTCCAGTGTCATCATTGTCATGCTATGGGGCATTTTCAGAAGCAGTGTCGTCAATGCATCTTCTGTAACTATTTTAAGAAGCAAGGGCACATTATTCTTGATTGTCCGTCCAATTGAAATCGTCTCCCATGCCAGCAGTCAGGTTCACATCCCGAAGTTGGACTTCTCTCCATTTCAACTGCGTTCGCTGTCCAGCCCAACCCTGGCGCTCCTATTCTCCAATCCGCTCCTACTAGGTCTTCTATCAATGTGGAGGCCATTGAAAGCTTGGTTAATCAAGCTTTGCAGCGCTCGCTTCCCACTGCTTTGAGCATGGCATTTGCATCTCTCTAGGTTTCAGGTAATCTCAGACCATGGCTTTTGGATTCCGATTGTTTCAATCACATGACTAGTGATCCAATGTTGTTGCATAATGTGAAACCTATTGAGCATATCTCTCTTCAAGTGGCTAATGGTGACCGCCTAAATCTTGCTGGAGTTGGTTGTGTGGATCGGTCATCCATTGTTCGACCCAATACTTTTCATATTCCAAAGTTATCTCCCAATCTTGTCTCTGTTGGTCAGCTAACTGGGCAGGGAACTCGTGTGTTTTTTGGCTTGTTTGGTTGTGTTGTGCAAGACCCGAAGACGTGGAGGCAAGTCGGGTGTGGGAGTAAACGTGGGCCTATTTTTGATCTGGAGGAGCTCGCGGGTCAATCTGTAGGGTTAGTGTCTCCGTCGGTGTCTAGGGAGTCCTTGTCTAAACCTTTCTTTCCTTCTTGTTCGGTATTTTCTAGCTTCAGTGATCAGAATTTGAATCTTTGGCACTCTCGTTTTGGTCACCCCAGTATGGGCCGGTTGCTTTCGATGTTTAAACTCCAACTTTTTGACAAGAATAATGTGATTGATCGCTCCTCTAAACTTGCTTGTACTAGTTGTGTAGAGGCGAAGTCTCATATCTCCTTTCCCTCGAGTGCGACAGTCATATCCGATCTGTTTCATATTATTCACTCCGATTTGTGGGGTCCTCCACGATGATGTCTCGACATGGATATAAGTACTTTGCTCTCTTTTTGGATCATGCTACTCGGCACGTGTGGGTGTAGTTTCTTCAGCTGAAGTCTAATCTTCTTTCGGTGACTAATGAGTTTTTGGCGATGGTTAAGACTCAATTTAATCCGTCTGTGAGGATTGTTCGGTCTGGTGAAGGAGGGGAATATGGTTCGATTGATCTACTGAATCTCTACAAGTCTCTTGGCATGCTCTTTCGGAAGTTTTGTCCCGGAGTATCGCAGCAAAATGGCATCGAGGAACGGAAGAATCGCCATGTTCTTGAGGTAACTCAAGCCCTCCTTCTCGAGTCAGGGGTTCCCCCTCGTTTTTGGCCGGAGTCTATAGCTACTGCTGTGCGGTTGATGAACTATCAAGTTACTCCGCTGCTTGGGGATCGTAGTTCCTACTACGCCCTACATTCTGCCCATCCTCAGTATAATCGTCTTTGATTGTACTGCCTTTGTTCTTCCTCCTCGTCGTGAGCATGACAATCTATCTTCTAAAACAACTCGTTGCGCCTTCCTTGGGTATAATGATGTTCACAAGGGCTATTTGTGCTTTTACTCGATTCTTGATCGTATGCATATATCTTGTAATGTCACCTTTTTTGAGAACCTTCCTTTCTTTTCTCCTACACCAGAGTCTGAGTCTTTTGTATCCAATTTGTGTCCTCTTGGGTTCTTTTCCACACCTAATGAGCTCCTCCTCCCCGCCGATGATCAACCGCCCGACTTGACTCCCTCGCTATCTTCGGCCTCGTTGGAGCACTCCGACTCCAAGATGTCTGCCTCGCCTGCTGCCAGCTCGCCATCTACCTCGTCCTCGTCAGCTCCATCTTCGCCAGACTCTCCTCCATCGTATGTGGTTCATCGTCGCTCTAATCGCATTACCCAAGGCCAGCCTCCGCCACATATGCGGGATTTTGTAACCTTTCATGTTGATTCTGTTGTGGTCCCTACCAGGTACAAGCAGGCGGCTCTTTATCCCAATTGGAACAAGGCGATGGATGTTGAGATTGATGCACTTCATGCAAACAACACATGGTCCATTGTGCCTCGACCCCCTCCAAAGATTCCGATTATTGGTAGTAAATGGGTTTACGACCTTAAGCTTCTCCCGGATGGTTCTATTGAGAGGCATAAGGCAAGTGTTTTTTATCAAGGGTTCTGTCATGAGTATGGGATTGATTATACTGAGACTTTTGCACCGGTGGCAAAGATGCAGACTGTTCGTACTCTTATTGCAATAGCTGCTATGAAGCAGTGGCCATTGTTGCAGTTGGACGTTAAGAATGTGTTTCTCCATGGGGATCTCAAGGAGGTTGTGTATATTGAGCGTCCGCCAGGTTACTCTTTGGGCACTAAGGATGAGGTTTTATCTTCTCCATAGTTCTCTCTATGGACTCAAACAGGCACCCCGTGCCTGGTTTGAGAAATTTCAGCACACTATCATTTGCCTGGGATTTCAGCAGAGCTTTAATAATCTGTCTCTCTTCCTTCGTTCCTCATCATCGGGATTGGTGGCTCTTCTCCTCTATGTCAACGACATGGTGGTTGCAATGATACAGATGTTATTCAGATGTTAACTGATGGTCTTCATGCTGCGTTCAATTTGAAGGAACTTGACTCTTTATCTTATTTCCTAGGACTTTAAGTAACTCGATCTTCAGAGGGTATTTTGCAGAGTTAGCGCAATTACATCGATGATCTCCTGCATGAAACTCATCTCGATACGTGTAAGCCTGTTTCGGCCCCTATGGAGCTGAACCTGAAGCACGGCCGTGACAGTGGCAAGCCTCTTGATGATGGGTCGCAGTATCGCTCCATAGTAGGTAGTCTCCTGTACTTGACACATACCCGACCCGATATCTTCTATGCGGTGCAGATCGTTAGTCGGTTTATGGCCCTGCCCAGTGATGCTCATTTGGCTGTTGTTCATCGGAT